ACTTACACTTCTACATCACAGTCCAACATTGAGAAAAGCCAGGACAGGAACTCAAACAGGGCAGGAACCTGGAGGCAGGAGCTGATGCAGAGGCCATGGAGGGGTGCTGCTGACTGGCTTGCTTCTCACGGCTTGTTCAGCCTGCTTTCTTGTAGAACCTAGAGCTGGGCCCTCCCCTAGCAGTCACTAATTAAGAAAATGCCTTATGCTGGGGGGTGGCGGCGGCGGCGGCGGCGGCGGCGGCGGCGGCGGCGGCAGCGGCGGCGGCGCACGCCTTTAATCCCAGCGTTCAGGAGGCAGAGGCACAGATCTCTGTGAGTTTGAGGCCAGCCTGGTCTACAAAAAGTTCCAGGACAGCACCCCCCCCCAGCCAAAAAAAAGGTTAAAAAATGCCTTACAGCTAGATCTTATGGCTTATGAAGGCCATTTTCTCAGTTAAGCATCCCTCCTTTCAAGTAACTCGAGCCTGGGTCAAGTTGACATAAGACTATCCAACACACTGAGGATGACATTGGGAGCAATGTCATCAAGCACATTGACAAGTGTCCTACCATTGAACTCGATGCACCTCCAGCTCTTGGAATATTGTGGTTTTTGTCCTACTTGTTCCTTTTGTAATTAAATTAACATCTCTGTTTTCCAATAATTAAGCAGCTATCTACTTGTCCCTCACAATGAGCAATGAAAATCTAAGTCTGTTTCTTCTTCTCCCTTTCCTTTCCTCTTTTACCCAATGTCAGTCAATAACATTTTCCTCGCAGTTAAAAATGTTCATTCTTGGGGTGGGAGACGTAGCTCAATGGTGGGGCTCATGTATGAGGCCATGGGTTCAGTCTCCGGAGAATGCGAAGTGTAAGCACTGCAGATGGGTAAGCTTTGTGACCTGAGGTGACCCCTGGAAACCACACAGAGGTGAAAGGAGAGAACTGGCTCCACCAAGTTGTCCTCTGGCTCCACACATGTGCCATGTGCACACACCGAATAATAATAAGTGAATTCATTTTACCTTTTTAAAAAGCACATGCCAATTTTTTTGTTTGTTTGGTAGGTTGGCTTGGTTTTGGTTTTGGTTTTTCAAGACAGGGTTTCCTGTGTAGTCCTGGCTGTCCTGGAACTCTCTCTGTAGACCAGCCTGGCCTTGAACTCAGAGATCTACCTGCCTCTGCCTCCCGAGTGCTAAGAATAAAGGTGTGCACCACCACTGCCTGGCTTCCAATTATTTTTATTAAATGTCCTGTAATTAAAAGCTGTCTCAACCAAAAAAAAAAAAAGTTGTCTCATTGTTTCCTTTTATTTCACTTCTTTCCCTTGTCTAGCCTTTATATTTCCAGCTGGGTCTAAAGACTAGTTAGTTAGACTTGGATTCAACATTGTGCCTATAATGACATCTTATATTTCATATGATAGGAGTCATGTAATAGGAATCTGCCTTGAGATCAGTAATTCCTAATTTGAACTGGTTACAGTAACTGCCCAGTTTCTTAGTACATACCTTCCCACGATAATGATTAATCTGTGCGGCGAAACCCTACTCTATGTGAACATCATAATCACCAACCACATTTCCGTCCAAGGGTTTTAGCACCGATTGGTAATGCTCACTTTCACCAATTATTACATTAGAAGGCTGCAATCTCATGATTTTTTTTTCCTGTTCTTTGATTTGGGTCTGGATTAAAGTGTGGTCTCTGTTCAAATTCAGTTACATAGTGCTGGACAGTTCCTCTGCTGGCCTTTTCCTGAGGCAGTCTGGAGTTAGCAGTCTTTGCTATCTTTTAACTTCTCGAATCTGGGATGCATTCAGGTATCCTTTAAGGGAAGAAGTATTTATTTTAGCTCACAGCTTCCAAGGTTTTCATCTTCCATGGCAAGCAGAACCACTCAAATCATGGTGGCCAGGAAGCAGAAAGAAAGAATGTCTGTGTTTGTTTGCTTTCTCCAAAGGGAGACAGCATCCTTCTTCAGGCCACCCTCAATGCTCCAGAACAGCTAGCATTCACATGCACTGCCCAGCCCTCTGCCCACCCTTCTCTTGAGACCAGTCCAACCCAAACATCAGGAAAGCATTCACATCAGAGGCTCTCCGAGGAAAAGGGATGTCAGCCTCACATCCATCAGCCAGGCTAGTGAACATGCTATGCACTGCACAGCTCCATGGGGCAGCTGCCTCACTGGTGTGATGTCGGGACCAGCCGACCTGTCGGGACCACTCACCTGAATAGGAGAGTGAGGACTGAGAAAAGACAGAGACATAGGATAGAATCAGGAGGGATCTCAGTGAATACTGCAGCAGTCCCGAATTTATTTCTCATAGCCTTTTTATACCCAAAGCAAGGAGGGGCCAAAGACTTCTTTACCATGGTTCAAGGAACAAACAAACGTAAATACCTCCTTAATTCTCAAAACATCTAGTAACCACGCCTTTGGCCAAACATCTTGTTATTTGGCCTTGAGAAGCAAAAGCAAGCTTGAACTCCCTGACCTTAAGTCAAGATGGACTCAGGTCACAAGCTGGAGTCACTGTGGGATCCCACAGTGTGATATTGTGATGTATGGACTATTTTCAGATCCTCATCTACGCAGGATTCCAGAGGCCACCAACACCAATGTGGAGGAGTCTCTTACTTTCTTTTAAAAATTTATTTAAAATAAAATAAGCACTATGTACAGGGAGGTGTGCATGTTAATATGGGTGCCTGTGGAGGCCAGAAGAGGGCATCAGATCCCTTGAAGTTGGAGTTACAGGTAAGCCTTCTAACATAGATGCTGGGAACCAAATTTGAGGCCCTTACAAAAGTGGTATATGAAGGAGCTCTCATTTTCAAGTTATTACACCAAGTCAAAAGTCTGCCACAACCCTCAACCCATAGTGTCCTAATCACACTCGGTTTGGTGGCTCATGCCTATAACCCCTGCATGGGAAAGGATGAGACAGGAATGTCACAGGTTCAAGGTCAGTGTGGGCTGCATAGTAAGACCTTATCTCAAAACCAAAAGAAGGTGACCCTAAACTAAGCCTTACCACAGATCTCAGCAGTTGGGAATGTATAAGGCCTCTGCTGGAGCCTGTGAGTTCCACCTAGCCAAGAGAGAACTGTGCTTCTGAAAGACCCACTCTGTCCCACGCCTGAGAGGGATGGAAGGAGTGTGGTGCAGGACAGCCACACCCACCTCTTTGATGCTGCTGATGTTGCATGCTTCAAACTTGGCTTCCAGCTTGAGACACACAGGCTCAGCATACAAAAGTAGAACCATCAGGAAGCAAGAAAAGACTGCTTGTCCTCGCTTTCTCGTCACAAGTTTCTCAAACCACAGGTGCCTCAGGCATCACACCTTGCTAGTCTCCACAGCAAGAGTTCCCTCTGGGCTGGGCTTTGCATAGAGTCTCCAGTTTTCCAAGAATCCAACTGTGCTCCAGAAAGTTCTACCCTCTGGAGGTAAGTAAGCTTTTCAGAGATCCATTGTGTGTCCCCACACGCACCCACAGGACACATGTGATCCAGGTATGGGCAAAAAACAAGGTCTCATGCTACAGGCCGCAGGAAAATATTATAAGAACTCAGCTGGTTATGGCAAAGTCACTACCTGAATGGATCAAGGAATTCCTCCAGAGGAAGTCAAATTCCAAGGAGCTTTTGGTGTTACTTGGCTTGTTATATGTCAGCTGTCTTCTGTTATGAAAATCATGTGTGCCTTCATAGTTTTCCCAATTGACATTTCCCTAAGAAGGGCTAACAGTGTGGACTGATCACTCTCTGGACATATACATTCAAGGTATTTGGAGAACAGCCTCAGGAAAGGCTTCCTTCCCCCCAGCCCATCCGTTTCTAGCCTTTCAGCACTGGAATCAGATATCTCCCTTAGCCACATTCTAGAACTAACAGAAATAAAAGTCCAGATCACCACAAGCTAGTCTCCTGATTTAAGGTAAATTCCACAAGGAGACACTGCCTAGGTCAGGTGGACCTTAAGTAATAGCTTTGCACAATTTAGCTCAGACCCTCCTTTCTTACAGCCTTATTAACTCTTTAGACCCCTAACTTCTTACCTAACCACTCCTAGGAATATAGATTGAGCACATAAATTCCCTTTTTGATATACTAACTGATGTTAGCTCTCAGCTGACCTCCTCCCTTAACCACTCCATTTTCAGGTCGGAAAAGAAAGCCTGACAATCACTGCCTGAGGAGACTCTTACCTGCCTTTATTACCTTGCAGGAATTCAGGCCGGGTGACCTGGGTGGAGGGGAGGATTGTGATTGTTTGGGTATATAACTGTAAAGCTAGAGACTAAATGGTGAATTAAAGTGAATGGACTAAAGAGCTCGGTGTGCTGAGATTCTGATTTCCTGAAAATAGTCCTCACCGTTCGTAGTTCTGTCTCCTGAGCCTCTGGGATGTATAATATTAAGGCTGGTCCCTCTAAACATTATACAAGAGTCTCATAGGAGGAAAGCCATGGACACATCCTCTCCTGGAGACAGCAACACCACATGTCCCTATACTGTCCCTCTGCCCTCGGGGCTCTGCCTATGTGAGGGAACCACAGGTAACACAGTTCCTCTCACTTGGGGACAAATGGTGACTCACTGGGCATGGGGAGGGCACATTTCCAAGCAAACAGCCTGAGGCATCAGGGACTGAGCTGGAAGTGGGAGTTAAAGGGAAGAGGAAAAGGAAAAGGTTTAGACCTGGCTTGTTGCAGGTCCTGGGTGGGTCTTGGAAACGCTACAGAAGCATGCTGAACGGAGGGCAGAGGAAAGAATCAGCCCTGTGCTGCGTATGAGTGGCACCCAGCAGGCCCAGAGGTCAGGGAACCTGAGCAAAGTGGAGCCACAACCAGAGCAGTGGCCCTGCTGATTGCATAATCTATTATTTGTCCACAGCTACATTTTGTCCAGAAACCCTGGTCTGAAAGGGAACTAAAGAAAACATCCAGCAAGCACTGGGCAAGGAAGGCCAGCAGCAGAGAACAAGGGTAGTCCCTGCTGTGCCAGAGGATGGAGGTGCACAATGTATCAGCCCCCTTCAATTTCTCGCTGCCACCTGGCTTTGGCCGCCGCCCCACAGACAAGGCGCTGAGTGTCATCTTGGTGTTAATGCTGCTATTTGTCATGTTCTCACTGGGCTGCACCATGGAGTTCAGCAAGATCAAGGCTCACCTGTGGAAGCCCAAAGGGGTGGTCATCGCCATGTTGTCCCAGTATGGCATCATGCCCCTCACTGCCTTTGTCCTGGGCAAGGTCTTCAGGCTGAACACAGTTGAGGCACTGGCCATCCTCATCTGTGGCTGCTCTCCTGGAGGGAACCTGTCTAACCTCTTCACCTTGGCCATGAAGGGGGACATGAACCTCAGGTAAGATTGAGGGTTAGGAGGAAGTGGTGTGGGATGGAGTGCGGTGGAGACGTCATAATCTGGAGAAAGTCTGGGCTGGAGCCAGGAAAAGAGGGAGTAAGAATTAGATTAAGGTTGGCATTGATAGTCAAAGACTTATGCTGAGTTGGGGTAGGCTCTGGAGTCTCTTCGGTTCAAGTACCGAGTGAAAGGTGTCAAGCTGGTCCAGAGGTATCTTAGACACCCCTGAACTCACAGAAGTGTCTCAAGGATTGCTTTAAAGGAAGACAGATTTCAACCAGAGTCCCTGACAACTGAAGCCACCTGACTGTGGCATGGTGTTGGCTCTGAAGCTAAAAATCTAGAAGGGGCGTAATGGGTTCTGAACATCCCAGGGAGACCAAAGTGACTTGGGACCAAATGAGCATCTCAAATTCCCGCAGAGAAGAGACTCCACAGGCTCCCTCCCCCACCACCACCCCGGTATCTGGGCATCCGAGGTATGCTGAGACCCTTCACCCAGTTGTCAGATGTAGTGAGATTGCCATCTGAAGACACCTCAGGGAGAATTGAGGTCCCAGCACTTGCCCAGGTTAGGCTGGGCGCTACTCAGTCTGACAAGCAGAGAGAAAGCCAACAACAACAGCCTGAGTTCAGAGCATCCTGACCAGAAACCAGCAAGGTCCCTCTCCTGAACAGCCTGACTCCTCGGGCATGGTGAAGTTATCGGTCCTGCACACAGATGTGACCGTTGTGGTGAATGCCTCCCAGAGAAGGCCCTCTCAGCATGATTGGGCCGTCCACACCATGGCTGAACTCACTAGCAGAAGCAAAGCCTCAGGCTGAAGGCAGTCTCCTCTGGATCTGTCCTTAGTGGAGATGTTCGATGTCAGGTGAAGCAAGGAACCCAGAGCCTGTGTCCTTGGGTCCATGTGCATCCTATCTGGGACCGAACTTTACAAAGAAAACTAACCGAGAAGGCTCTCCTAGCGAGGCCAAGCGATACTAGTGCCCTTGGGGGGGGGGGGGACAAGGTTTGTCACACCTCATGTGTCCCAAGAAATCCAGGTTAAACCTCAGTTCTGATGCCGAAGGAATTCGAGTCACACTAGTCAGAGAAGGGGCACTCTGAGGGAATCTGTGTACCTGTGGAAGCAGCAGGACAGGAATGAGGTTGGGGACCATATGGAGGACCACAGGTGGCCGCTAACGAGGCCTCTCCAACATCAGCTGCTCTAGAACGTGGGTGGCCTCCCACTATACCCAGCCTGTGGTGAGATCAAGAACATGGCCCCTGAGCTCTGCTCCTTGCTCAGCCTCTGGCTCCAAGTTCCAGACTCCACCATGGGTGTTGATGTGGCCACCTTCTGTCAAAGTCCCCTCCTCCGAAGCTAACCTGCCCTCCTCATACACATTAACCATGCCTCGGACACCACTGGCCAAGTGTGAGTATCATCCTCCTGTCCTGCTAGACTTTGAATCCCAGTTGTCCTGAGAAGTTACTACATGCATTATAGCAGTGACAGTGATGGCAGGAACTAAACATTCTTTTCAACAAAGTCAAATTTTAAACTTATTTAGCTTTTTGTGTATATGGGTGTTTTGCCTGCATGTATGTCTCTGGGCACTACACGTGCACCTAGTGCCCACGGAGGTTAGAAGAGGGCACTGGATTCCCCTAGAACTGGAGTTACAGATGGTTATGAGCTGTCATGTGGGTGCTAGGAATCAAACCCAGATCGTCTGGAAGAGCAGCTAGTGCTCTTAACCACTGACCCATCTCACCAGCCCCCAACAAAGTCCCATTTTATTCTCTTAATACCCTTCTTGTCCACTGTATACATCCTGCACTGGTCCTTGTTTGGGTGGCTGGCATGGATGGGTATATACAGGGGGGAGTGCCGTAACTGACCACATTCACAGATGAGGAAACAGTCTGAGAGCTTAACACCTTTGGTCAGGGTCTGGCTGGCTGCAGAGCTGGTGTGTCTGCTCAGATGTTTTGCAAGCTAGCCTGTTCATTGGCAGACCGAATGGAGGCAGCCTGCCAGGCTCAAAGGCACTGGACCCTCTGATCAGACATGCATATTGTATAGGAGAGGAATCCACAGTCATCACAGTCTTCTGCTTTTCTTTTTTTAAGACACATTTATTTTTATTTTATATATGTGAGTGTTTTGCCTGCATGTATGCAGGGACACTGTGTGTATGTCCTGGTGTCCATGGAGGCCAGAAGACTGCCCTGGATCCCCTGAAACTGGAGCCATAGATGGTTGTGAGTCACTATGTGGGTGCTAGGAGTTGAACCCTGGTCCTCTGGAAGAGCAGCCAGTGCTTTTAACAGCTGAGCTATCTCTCCAGCCTCAAGATTTCTGCTTCTCAAGTGAAGATCGAACCTCCATTTTTAGGTGAAATCTCCAAAATTTCAAACATCATCAAGTCATCCAAACGTATCTAAAAGGCTGTGCAAGCCAAGCAATGTCTAAGGGTCAGATGTGGCTCCAAGGTCTACTTCGAGGCCTCCCCTTCAGCTCACCATGTCCCACTCAGAGTTAGAAGTAAACGGTGAGATTCCTATTATTCTGTTTTCCTCACGAGGAAACAGTCAAGAAACCTGCCAATGGTCTCCAAAGAGCTGAGCAAAAGTTGTGTCCAGAGCTGGCTCAGGGCCCTCTCCCATGGTTTTTCTGTCTTCCAAATGTATTAAGTCTGAGGGGGAACACCAGCCAGCCAGGCAGGGCAGGTCCTTCCTCAAAGACACCAAGGCAAGCGAAAACACCCAGAGGAAGCAAGCTTGTTAGGAACAGCCTTGACTGCTCTTGCTGCCATCCTCAAACTGTCCTGCTCCCTTTCTTCACCTGCTGGTCCCCAAACAGGCCAGAGTCAGTGGCTAGGGAGACAAAAGGCCTGGACACCACCCCAGGGTCCCTACAAGTTTCCCACGATGACACAGGAAGCCATTGGAATTCCTACACATTTCCCACTTCACCTTAGAGACCGGATGGTCACTTCACAGTGTCCTCAGGTTGTGCCTCTGATCTTTCTATTCCGTTCAAGTTTACAGGTTTAAAAAAAAGGGAAGGGAGAGGGCCTAAGCACTGCACTCATTCTCAAGCAAGAAGGGGCTGGGTGCAGTGGTGCATGTCTGTTAGCCCAGCTACCCGGGTGGCTGGGTGGCTGAGGTAGGAGAATGCTTGAGAGCCCATCTCAAAACAGAAGAACTTAGAAGTAAGCATGGTATGGTGGCACAGGCCCCTGGAAGGCGAAGGCAGAAGGCGTCAGGAGTTCAAGGTCACCCTCCACGACACATGGAGTTATAGGTTACATCAGATCCCTGTCTGAAAAAGGCAAAAACAAAAAAGAACATATATAGAAAGGAAGAATGAAAATACAAACATGCCATCCCATCATAACCAGAAACAAGGTCCACAATGTTGCCATGGTTCCAATCTTAGGAGCTAGAATCTGGAGGTCACCTCCCATCCAGGTCCTTTAGGGTAAACTGAGGATCACAACAGTCATAGATGCCAGCAGGTTGGGGATGGATACCTCTGACAGCCAGTCCCCAGTATCTGTGATTGTGGAGGAAAATTTCTGAGGTTCTGGGACCATGGCTCTACACATCTAACGGGACAAGGCACACAAAGTCCCAGAACACACTCTAGAACTCCTGACACAAAGCCAAAGTAAGCATGGTTTCTCTGGACATGAAGACAAACACACCATTTGTCAGTTCTACAAAGAGCCCAATAGCTTGCACAGAAAAACCCCCAAACACTTCTCAATCTCATTCCCTCTGCCACACCTCAGAGAGAGTATCTCCCAGGACTTGGCTCCAGCGACTCTAAGGATATATTTTTTAAACTTTTTCGTTTGTTATGGTTGTTGTTGTTGTTTTGTTTTAGGTTGTTTGTTTGTGATGGAGTCTCATGTAGCCCAGGCTGGTTTTGAACTCACTGTGTAGCCAAAGATGACCTTGAACTTCTGATCTTCCTGCCCCCGCCTGACTGCTGAGATTACAAGCTGCCACCATCATTCCTGGCTCTCTCGCTCTTTTTTTTTCCAATGTGTATGTGAGTGTGTCTATGTATGTGTGTGCCATGTGTGTGCATGTACCTGCTGAGGCCAGAAGAGGACATCAGAACTCCTGGAGCTGGAGTTACAGGAGGTTAAGCCAGCCATTGTGGGCACTGGGAAATGAACTTGGGTCATCTGGATGAACAGCAATCATTCTTCAGTGCTAAGCCATTTTTCCAGCCCCTGGTGCGCTCTCTCTCTCTCTCTCTCTCTCTCTCTCTCTCTCTCTCTCTCTCTCTCTCTCTCTCTCTCTCTCTCTCCATACACACCGAAGAGGGCATCAGATCCCACTACAGATGGTTGTGAGCCACCATGTGGTTGCTGGGAATTGAACTTCCACGTCTTTTTATTTGGAATCATCTGGCTTTGTCATTTTTGCCAACTGGTCATTGTGTAGCCAATCACATTTTCACCTGGACTTCACGGGAGGCCTAGCACCTTTTCATGGGTAAACTAGTCACTTGGATGTCCTCATCTGGAAATGGGATGAACTGTGTTTCTATGGGGTTGTTCTGAAAGAACTTTTTTATTGATTTGCAAAGTGATTTGAATGTATCTCTTCACAGTGTGGGACTTACATGTATGCATTGATAATGACGTCTTACACTTAGTGCTTCTAACTTAGTCAACTCTGTACTGTTTTGTCTTGACTAGTCAGAGGTCTAATAAATCCTTTACTGTCTACAAAGATATTTCCTATATTTCCTTTGAAAAACTTGAAAACATTTGCCTTTCACATGGAAATTTTTTTGTTTTGGTTTTGGTGTTTGTTTGTTTAGACAGGGTTTCTCTGTGTAGCTGTGGTTGTCCTAGAACTCACTTTGTAGACCAGACTGGCCTCACACTCAGAGATCAGCCTGCCTCTGCCTCCCAAGTGCTAGGATTAAAGGCGTGTGCCACCACCACCACCACCACCACCGCCACCACCCAGCTTCACATAGAAATCTTAAATCAACTTAGAACTTATTTTTATGAGTGATCTAATCTTACATTTTCCATATGAATAAATCTTAAGTACCATTCATTTTCTCCTCCAATACTATTTAGTATCACTTCTCTTATTAGTCAAAGATGATTGAGCATTTATCTGGACTCTTATCTCATTGGTCAATGTGGCTGTCTTTCTATCAGTACATGTTCATAATTACAGTGACTTTACAGGTCTTTCTATCTTCATGAAAATGTTAACAATTTTTCACCTTTCTACTCTTGCACTTGAATTTTAGGATCATCTTTCAAATCTACAAAATTCTTAGAATTTTGATTAACTTTGCATTGCATTGTGTGTGTGTACATGTTTTACCTGCATGTGTCTGTGAACCACATGTCTGCCTGATGTCCTCTTTACAGGGAGTCAGATCTCCTGGAACTGGAGTTACAGATGGTTGTGAGCTGCCATGTGGGTGCTGGGAATTGAACCCAGGTCCTCCAGAAGCTGCCAATGCTCTTATTCCCTGAGTCATCGCTCCCGCCCCAGCACTTACAAATTTTGCGACTGTTTTGGCTTATAGTTCCAGAGGGACAGTTCTGTCATAATGGGGACGACATGACAGTAGAGAAGGCCTGATGATAGGAGCAGGAAGTTGGATGATCACATCATCCGTATATAAAAAGTAGAAAAAGCAAACAGGAATTGGTGCCAGGCTAGAAAACCTCAAAGCCCACCACCAGTGACATACTTCCTCCACCAAATCACTCCCTCCTAAGGATCTATAACCTTCACTGATAGCACTGGGGACCAACTGGGGACCAAGTTTTCAACTACCTGAGCATAGAGGAGACATTTCTCACCCAAACCACCTCACTACCTTAATAATCTTGTCTTCTTCCCATTCTGCCATGAATATAGTATAGCTCTTATGGCTTCCTCCATACCCTTCTATGATATTTTATAATTTCTTCAGTAAAGACTTTGTCATCTCCTTGAAATTTATTTCTAAATATTTTATAATTTTGGTTACAAATGCCATCTTTAAAAAAATTCTTGAGGGGCTGGAGAGAAGGCTCAACAGCTAAGAGCACTGGCTGCTCTTCCAGAGGACCTGGGTTCAATTCCCAGCACCCGCATGGCAGCTCACAATTGTCTGTAGTTCCAAGTTCTGGGGGATCCGACACCCTCACATAGACATACATGCAGGCAAAACACCAATGCACATAAAACAAAAATAAAGAATTAAAAATTTTTTACAGTGCTCGCTTTGGCAGCACGTATACTAAAATTGGAACAATATAGAAAAGATTAGCGGGACCCCTGCACAAGGACGACACGCAAATTCGTGAAGCACTCCATATTTTTCAGCATATCTCCTAGTTCCAAATAAAATATTTTTAAAAATAAATTTAAAAAAAAATTTTTACAAAAAAACTAATTTTTTTCTGTTAGTAGCATATCTGATCTCAATTTATTATTTTACATTGCTCATGTGTTTCTAACCCTGTTCTTTTTAGTTATAATGGAAAATTTTCCTCTATGATCAGTCCTTAGCAAAATAAAAAAAATCAAGTTTATTTTCTCCTCTTCCTATCCACTATTTCTCTTGCTGTCTACTGCAATATATAAAAGAGGTGGTTACACAATGCTGTTTTATTCCTTTTATCGTAGGAAATCTTTTTAACTGTTTACCAGTTCAGTGACAAACTTAGTAGGTATCACTTTCAAAATTAAGACTTTCCATTGTTGTTGATACACTAAACATTTTTAACATTCAATCTTGAATTTTTCTGTGCCTGTCTTATTAGGGTTTCTCATATTGTGACATAACAACATGTCCAGCTGGGCGGCAATGGCACACGCCTTTATTCCCAGCACTCGGGAGGCAGAACCAGGCGGATCTCTGTGAGTTCAAGGCCAGCCTGGTCTACAGAGCGAGCTCCAGGACAGGCACCAAAACTACACAGAGAAACCCAGTCTCAAAAAACCAAAAAATAAAATAAAATGTCCAAAAGCAACTTGAGGAGTAGAGGGTTTATTTTACTTATACATCCTCATCACAGCCATTGTTGAAGGGAGTCAGGGCAGGAACCTGGAGGGCAGAACTGAAGCAGAGGCCACGGAGGGGTGCTGCTTACTCAGTTACTCCTCATGGCTTGTTCAATCTTACAGCCTCCAGGACCACCTGCCCAGGGGTGGTACACACAGTGAGGTGGGCCCTCCAACATTAATGAATCAAGAAAAGGTGATTTTCTTTAAACCGGAATGGCACTTTCTTCAATAAAGCATATGGGGTCTGAAGAAGCTGGGCAGGCCTGTGCTTGTATCTTCTATCAGCCACTTACTATGTGCAATTTGGAAGAAGTCAAAACTCCAATATTCACTCAGCATGTTTACTGCTCAAGAAAATGGCATAAGGTACTGGGCGGTGGTGGCGCACGCCTTTAATCTCAGCACTCGGGAGGCAGAGCCAGGCAGATCTCTGTGAGCTCGAGGCCAGCCTGATCTACAGAGCGAGATCCAGGACAGGCACCAAAATTGCAGAGAAATCCTGTCTTGAAACCCCCCGCCACCACCACCCAAAAAATGATATAAGGTATGTATGCAGCACATTGTCTGGTAACAGAAGGGACTCTAACATCTAATTGGCTTCTTTGTTCTTCCCTTATCTTCCACTCAGCATTGTGATGACCACCTGCTCCACCTTCACAGCCTTGGGCATGATGCCTCTCCTCTTGTACATCTACACCAGAGGGATCTATGATGGAGATCTTAAGGACAAGGTGCCCTATGGGGGCATTATGATATCACTGGTCATGGTTCTCATTCCTTGCAGCATAGGAATCTTCCTCAAGACCAAAAGGCCACAATATGTTCCCTACATCATCAAGGTAAGAACTCGGGGCCCTGCTTAAATAAAGCATGGTAACTGAGCAATTACCACCATAGGCTACTTAGGAGAGCTTCTCTTTGACTCACTGTCCCAGGGGTTCTAGTTGGATGCTGGATCACTTGGCAAGGGCAGTTGTCATAGCATGAACATGTGTTAGATCAGGTACTCACATTCCAAGACGGAGCAGAGAAGACAGCATAGGACCCCTTTAGCTTTCTCAAAACCATGCCCCCAATGCCCTAAGAACCTTCTGGTAGGCTCCACACCCTGAGGCCCACAGTACTTTAGTAGTATCACCCCAGGGATCTGCCTTTAACCTATAGACATGTGGGGAGGTGGGTAGAGATTACTCATTCAAACCACAGCAGGCTTCCCTTAAAAAGGTAAAATAGTCTATTCTTGGTGTATCTACTACTTAATGGGACTGTAATGTGAACAAATACTTTTGAAGAGCCAGGAGAAAAAGGGAACACAGAATACATACGTGTGTGTGTACGTGTGTACGTGTGTACGTGTGTGTGTGTGTATACACATACCACACCTTGTAGTGTAATTAAAATAAAATTAGGCTTATAATCCCTCTTTGATGCTTAAAGTTTCTGCCATACACTTTGAGGGCTGGCTGTTTCAGAGTTTATATTTGAAAAAGGTAAAATAACAAAAAAGAAATAAAGTCCAACAACAGCAGGCAAACAAGTCTGGTTAAGAGTCTGTAGGACTACTGAAGGCCAGGGGAGAGACCAATAGAGAACAGAGGGCGACAGGGCAAACCTGGCTGACTAGAAGAGACTAAGAGGAAGCAGGAACACTTCCAGCATTTCAAGGAGAGTTCACAGAAGTTTGAAGAAACACTGTGATGGCAGAGAAGGTACCATATCATTGCTTGCCCTTAGGAGAATGTGCAACCGGTCAAGTACTCATATTCCTCCAACTTTTTCATATTGGAGCTCAGCCCTTGTCAGCCTCCTGTACAGAGCAAGTTAGTTCTAGGTGGCCAGCCAGGACCACACAGTGAGACCCTGTCTCAAAAAAACAAGTAAACATCACACACAGGAATAAAATGGAAACCAGAGTCAAGTTGCAGCATAATCATTACGAAATAACTGATAACCAAGAATTTTTTGCTATATTATTTCTTTATTCAAAAGATGAAGAACAAAGACAAATTTACACTTTTTTTGTCATTTTGGAGCATGCTGTAAAGAGCATGGAAAAAAACTTAGATCCTTATGTTTCATAATGAAAACCCTAAGCGATCATTTCACCAGACCCTACCTACTAAATGTTCACAGTGGTGTATAGAAAATGCAACTGTAAAGTTAACTTTGAGGATAAACACATGCCATTGCCCCCAATACACATTTCTACCTCACTCTCCTAGAGGAGGGGACATGATGGATCTGCAGAGTTTATAATGCTATTACACATTTCTGGAACTTTCCCATCTAGTTTCCTAGTCACACAAGCAAGCTGTAGGGTTACACATCACTAGAGTTAAAAAGTAGGCTACCTGGTACAACCGTCTTGTGTATCAGCTTTGCTTCTAATGACTCTTGGCAATTTCCACAAGTCCAGTTCATCCTAGTTGTTCTCAACTTTCCTAATGCTGCAACCCTTTAAAACAGTCCCTTCATGTTGTGGTGACCCCCAACCATAGTTATTTTTATTGCTGGTCCATAACTAATTTTGCTACTATTATGAATCTTTGTTTTCTGATGGTCTTAGGCAACCCCTGTGAAAGGGTCATTTGACACCCCCCCCACAAAGAGGGTGTAACCCGTAAGTTGAGAACTGCTCTCCTAAAATAATGAAGTCCTTCCCTGTAATGGAGGCTGAGAAAAGCTCCAAAATATTTTTAGGGGCAGTCTTGTGCAAATGTTTACAGACTGAAAATGTCATTATTAAGTATCATGTTCATAGGACCAGGGAATCTCATCCCTTCACAGCTACAGCACATCACTGAAAATTTCACAGCAGTCTGGACTAGGTCAAAAGCAGCTGGCTATGCTTGGCTGATGTTCTAGTCATTAAAGTATTAGCCAAATGTAAGTTTTCTAGCTACTTATACAAGAAACCCAAAAAGATGGGATATACAGGCTTTTTGTATCTCCTTCCTGTTCTAATAAAAATGATCTCTGCTACCAAATACCTGTGTCTCCCCCATTGCTCTGGGCCCACTCCGACCCCTCTAATGGCCTCTTGTTCCCATGTCCAGGGAGGAATGATTACCACTTTCTTCCTCAGCGTGGCTGTCACGGTCCTCTCTGTCATCAATGTGGGCAATAGCATCATGTTCGCCATGACACCACCGTTACTGGCCACCTCCTCCCTGATGCCTTTCAGTGGCTTCCTGCTGGGCTATGTTCTCTCTGCTGTCTTCCAGCTCAATCCAAGGTAAGTCTCTTGGGTTCCATTTTCCTCAGGAGCTTTTTTTTTTTTCCCAAGACCCCGTTTCTCTGTGTAGCTTTAGAGCCTGTCCTGGAACTCACTTTATAGTAGACCAGGCTGGCCTCAAACTCAGAGATCTGCCTGCCTCTGCCTCCCGAGTGCTGGGATTAAAGGCGTGCGCCACCACCCGGCTAGCCTCAGCGCCTTTAAGGGCAGAATATTTCCTGGCACATAGTCAAAGGCACCAACTGAACAAGGACTTTGGGCAGTAAGAAGTTATGGGGGGTTGGGAGGGAGATTGCACTAATAACAAAGTCTGCCTTCTCCCAGTGTTGAGATCCCTCATCCCAGAGCTGCCTGGCAATTGGCGGCACTGGGGTAGCCTTAATGCCACTGCTAATACTCCTTGTCCACTCTCCTTGCTCTTCTGACAACAATGTAGGATGAAGTTATGCTATGTGGTACTCCAAGCTCAGGTCTTTAGCTACAGCACAACCCAACTCACAAATACAGTAAAAGAACAGTCAACTTCAGGGTCTGTGGGAACATCAGAGACCTGTTAGCCTAAATAGATAAAATACTTACGCGGGAGTCTATAGCACAGTGGTTCTTAACCTTCCTAATGCTGCAACACTTTAACACAGTTCCTTGTGGTGGTGACCGCAACCATAAAATTATTTCATTGCTACCTCCCAACTGTAATTTTGTTATTGTTATGAATCATAATGTAAATATGTGCTTTACAATGGTCTTAGGTAACCTGATAGTCATTCAACCCCCAAGTTGAGAACCACTGCATTAGTAGAATTTCCCGACACTCCAAGAGAAACTCATTTTTAAAACACACACAAAATCCACTATTACAGTCTTGTTGATAAAGATGAAATTACTGTGCATGTACCACACAAAATAAAAGGCTGCCATAACAATAGTGCTGCAGAACTAGTTCTGGGAGCTACAGATCACAATGGCCATAGCAGTACTCATAATATACTAAAGCTAGCAAATTATTTTAACACACTTTGGAACATGTATTCATTAAATATAAACATCTTGCTCGTCAATCCACAAAATGCAAAGCAAAATTAGGGGAAGTAAAGCTTTCAAAGATACATAGTGGGACTGACGTTTACTTTTGATGACAAGTTCCAGAGCTAAAGATATGTAAGCTACAAACAGGCACAAGATGAGGTCTGTGACATCTCAACCTCCTACTGTCCAGTCAAATGTGCAACTACATGCAACTCTGTTATTATGTGCAACTAACTTAACAAGCTGATGATACTGGCTCCCAGTTTTACTTATCTGCCAGTCACTTCCAAGTTTTAACTTAGCAATTCTATAAAAGAAGACCAGTCAAAATTTCCCAACATTTCAAAAGGCTTCCTTGGGGCCAGATGGATAGTTACATGCCTAGCACATACGAGGCCAAGTAGTCGGCAGCCTATGTATGCACGCACACACACAGCCTTTTATAAACTTTCTGTACTGTTTAGTCACCATCCTTCTCAGCGTTAGATTGGTGAGGAGTCAGGTTAACTTTTTCCAAACCCATGTGTACTTTAACTTCCTGTTTCCTCCCACTGTCCTGTGCTGGATGCTGTAGACCTAAAGTATCGGAAAGGGGAAGGGTAGGCATGGCAGCTGCCAACTGTCTTCTGTTAAGCACATTTCCCCACCACACAGGTGCAGGCGCACCATCAGCATGGAAACAGGATTCCAAAATGTTCAACTCTGTTCTACCATCCTCAACGTGACCTTCCCCCCTGAAGTCATTGGACCACTTTTCTTCTTTCCTCTTCTCTACATGATTTTCCAACTTGCAGAAGGAATTCTCTTCATTGTTATCTTCCGGTGCTATGAGAAAATCAAGCCTCCCAAGGGTAAGTACTGAATCATCTCCCCTTTGAGTACTGCCACATTAGACCTGAGCTTCCAACAAGAGGTTCCCAGCAGGGACCTGAAGCAGGGTAGCAAGAAAACTATGCAAGACTTTAAAGAGTGAAGGTCATTTCCATCGGTAGCACTGTCTTCAGTTGAGAAAATCAAGTTGTGGAGTTTCTCAAGGGACAGGCAATATGAGACCACTTTGTCTAAGCAAAGAACCTTCACTATGATAGGACACAACTACCTTGGACCTAAGATATTTCTAGGGTGTTTGGGAAGCTTCAGCATTCTTACAGTATTCCATTTTCTATAACCAGGTCAGAGTCCTATTACCCTAGTGCCCCCATAGGAAAAAAACACAAGACAGTCCTAATGCAACAGAATCCAAAGATTCTGGTTACAGTCATTCAATCACAGACTTCTTAAATACATAACTGGTATGATTTGTACTGATTACTCAAATCAGACATATTGTTTTTGAGACAGGGTTCCTCTATAGCCCTGGCTGTCCTGAACTTGCTTTGTAGACCAGGCTTGATTCCAACTGCCTCTGGATTAAAGGTGCTGGGATTAAAGGTGTGCTTCACCACCACCTGGCTAAGAGCATTTTTCTTAAAAAGTTCAGAGCAAGTTTATTATATTCAGAACTAATTGAACCTCAAAAAAGCCCAGAATCCCTCACTCAAAGTGCTTCTGAATGGTTGAGAGGCAGCCGAACAGTAAAGAGCACTTCCAGGGGCTGGAGTGATGATGGCTCATGGTTGCTCTTCCACAGGACTCACAGACAGCTCATACTACAGTCCTAGAGGATGCCCTCTTCTGGCCTCCATTGACACTGCATGCAGTGCAAAGACATGCAGAGAAATAACCCATATACATAAGAACAAATTGGTCTTAAAAGTTCATTTAGCCGGGCGGTGGTGGCACACGCCTTTAATCCCAGCACTTGGGAGGCAGAGTCAGGTGGATCTTTGTGATTTCGAGGCCAGCCTGGTCTACAAAGCGAGATCCAGGAAAGGCGCAAAGCTACATAGAGAAACCCTGTCTCGAAAAACCAAAAAAAAAAAAAAAAAAAAAAAAATTCGTTTAAATTGTGTGCATGTGTACATGCACATAGACACATGTAGTCATACAGCTTAGCAGTGAGCACCTGCTGAGTCCTCACCAGCCACCACAGTACTCTTGTTTTTGTGGTACTGAGTATTCAACTGAGTAGTTCATGTGTACAAAGTAAAAATTCTACCCTCGATCTTTGTTTTCTGTATGTAGCTCAGGATAGCCTCAAAGTGGAGATTCTCCAGCCTCCAAGTGGTCATCACATTACACATTATGTACCATGTCCAGGAGGTATCTTTCTAGTAGTGGGAAATCAAACTCAGGATGTGGCATGCTAGGAAAGCATTCTGCCACCGAGTTACATCCCTGAACTCTCATGAATGTCTCCGTAACAACAAAAAGCTCAACACTGCTTCGTAATATCTATTTCCCAACATCTTTTTTTCCTAACCACCCAGTTTATTCTGTTGCATCACATTTTCAGTAAAACCAAAGCTGAGATTCTTCCCAGACCCTAGGAACTGTGATTTGCACCTCAAGACAGATACAAAACTTTGCCTGGTGGAATTGACCATTACTATATTAGCAAACGCCAACTTTCCCTTTGCAATTTAGATGTAATCCTGGTTATCAAGAAGCCAAAAAGGAGAGCTGGTCACACTACAGAACCACTAGAACCTTTGGTTCAAAACTGGGAAAGAACCTAAGTCTGAGCCTCTCCTCTAAACAACCCTGTCACTTATTACCCAGTGGTAATAAGTGGGCAACACTTTCATAAACAGTGCAAGGGATGGCACTTCTAGAGCCAACAATTAGGTTCCAGGCTTAAAGGGCTGTGGTCCTAGAAGACCTGTGATAACCTTAAATGTGAGACTCTGGATTTTCCGTCAAGACCTTGAAAAGGCCGATTTTGAAGACCCCGGTACCAAAACTGAGTGAAAAGTTTGACCCATCTCTTCTACTGAAGTGGGAGAGCATGGGAGAGGGGACCTTCCTGACTCCTGTCTTCAAAGTTCCTCACCACTCCATAGGGGTTTAAAAAAAAAAAAAAGAAAAACCAACCGATTGAGGAAAGTAGGGGTTGGCAGTCTGAAACATCTGATCAGATTCCCCTAAAGCTTCTTCCTGCCTTCCCTTCCTTCAGAATCTGTCATTACTTACCTAAACCCACTTTTCTCTACTGCTTTATTGTATGAGATGTTACAGAGTGATGAAAAGTGTGCACAAAGTGCTAACACATTAGGGATCTCAAAGGAAAAACAAATCTTTCATTCTAAAAGGGATGAAATGGTAGATACAGAGCACCCTCTGGAGTTCCTGTATTTGGACAAGTTTTGTGTTTGTCTTAGTTACTTTTCTATTGCTGTGATGCTAGACACCAGACCAAGGCAACTGACAGAAGGGTTTATTGGGAGCTTACAGTTTCAAAGGGTTAGAGTTCACAATCTTTATGCAGGGAGCATGGCAGCAGGCATCACATTGGAGCAGTAACTGAGAGCTTACATCCTGACCCACAAACAAGCAGAGAAAGGCTAACTAGGAACGATGAGGCATGAAGGCTTCTGAAACCTCAACAACCCACCCCAAGTGACACACCCCCAACAAGGCCACCTCATCTAATCCTTCCCAAAGAGTTCCTCCAAGTGGAAACCACGCATTCAAATACAGGAGCCTATAGGGGCCATTCTCATTCAAACCACCACAGTATTACTCAGTCATTCTCTATTTTGACTTCACAGACAAAACGAAAGTCATCTACAAGGCTGCTTCAACTGAAGATGCTAGCCCAGCTCTGGAAAAAGGCACCCACAATGGGAATGTTCCTTCTACACAACCTAGCCCTTCCCCCAACGGACTGGATTCTGGTCAGGTGAAAAATTAGAAGCAACAAGAAAGAACACCAATCTTGCCTGAATGTTTGTATAACACTTCCAGCAAATCACTTTCCAGCAAAACCTAAGCTAGAGGAGCAATCTACCCAGGAACCCTCACCCATCCCCAACATGGAATTTGCTATTTGTTCAAAAACTAAGAACTGGGCAAAGTGGTTCATGTCTATAATCCCAATGCTCAGAAACTCAAAGTCAACCTTAAGGTACAAAGCAAGACTGTCAAACCAAAAATACCCTTCAGTGGCTATGAACACTTATGAAGGCTGCACTCACCCCCGACCACACACACAGCAGTATCTGATGAGCATTAATGTCACTATTTCTAAACTTACCAGTAGGTAGGTGTTCATGAAACATCCACAACTTGTTTCAAGTAACTCAAAAGGAAATAAACTGTAATACTAATTGTTCTAATTTATGAAAAGTCCAATCTTAATTCTTTTTCCCTTTGACACATGACTTGTGTTCAAGTTCAAATCAATACCAAGTACACAAGTGTCTGGGCAGTGGTGGCACACACTTTAATCCCAGCACTCAGGAGGCAGACCTGTGAGTCCCAGGCCAGCCTGGTCTACAAAGAGTGTTCAAGACAGCCAGAGCTGTTACACATAGAAACCCTGTCTCATAAACAAAAACAAAATGCACAAAAGCAATTAAACAGGACAAAATTGCCATCCATTACCACCATGAAAGGGTTTCAAATATCAGAAGCAAGAGAAATTCTTACTTAAAAAGCTAAGAAACAAGCCAGCACAATTACACTTGATGCCCATTCTATCAATTTACCTGCGAGTGCCATTAGGCACTCTAAAAACTTTAGAGGAAGTACTATACAGAAAAATATTTGAACCTTCGTATTTCCTCTATACCTAAACATTTTGCACTTTTTACTCAGATGCCCAAAAACACTGAAAGATGAACAAACTACCCAATGCATACAGTCGAACATGGTTAGCTACTTTCTATTTTATTATGTATACAGTGTTTTGTCTGCACGTATCCCTGCAGGCCAGAAGAGGGCGCCAGATCTCACTACAGATGGTTGGGAGCCACCATGTGGTTGCTGGAAATTGAACTCAGGACCTTTGGAAGAATAAGCAGTGCTCTTAACCTCTAAGCCACCTCTCCAGCCCGACTACATTTTTATTTACTAGTGATCAAGTACAACTGAGGCCATATTAAGGGCACCTCTTTGGCAAAGTGGCAATACTAACAAGTATTCCCAGGACCAGAACAAGACCGACTATTTGGGTTCATCTTTACCATGTTTTTATTAAATTTAAAAAAAAAAAAAAAAAAGCATGGTGGCATACCCTTCGAAGCACACACTCACATGCCTGCTAAAGCAGCAGGTGGTTTGCCTCAGGTTTGAGGTCAGCCTGAGCTACACAGTACCTAGCAAGCCCAAGTTTTCAACCAAAAAAAAAAAGTTTAGGTATGTTAGGGCAGTCTAACACCAGCAATTTGGGGGAGGGCATAAAAGAATGACAAATTAAGGATATTAGCTACACAGTAAGTTGAAAGCCAGCCTAGGATATAAGCCAGTATCAACTCACCACAAAATACCATTTCTTAATTTGGAGGTTCATCTGTTCAATGACTTCTCTAACATCCAGCTACCACTGTGCAAGATGTGATTAACTAATGTAAAAATCTAGCATTCAGGAAAGGCTGAACTGGGACTTCAAACTATCCTTAGAAGTAGATGAGGCCGGGACGGTGGTGGCGCACACCTTTAATCCCAGCACTCGGAAGGCAGAGCCAGGCAGATCTGAGTTCGAGGCCAACCTGGGCTACAGTGAGTTCCAGGAAAGGCGCAAAGCTACACAGAGAAGCTACACAAAGAAACCGTCTTGAAAAACCAAAAAAAATAAATAAAAAATAGGTAGATGAAAGGAAACAACTACTCGTCTTGAGACTTCTAAGACTGTGTGGCACACAAATTTTAAGTACAGTACTCAAGAGTCAGTGGCAGGTGCATCTGAGTTAGGCCAGCACATAGCAAGCCCCAAACCAGCCAGGCCCAGACACAGTAAAGCTTTATCTCAAAACAATCTCACTGCCTAACTTCTCAAATCTCAGGTCTTAGCGTTCACTTCACCCTGATGCAGTTCTTAGGAAAGAGAAGGCTAGATTCTGTCAGTGTTATGGCAACAGTTCCCTAAGTAAACAAGCACACCACTAGTCCTACATCTAGCCTGTTGTAAGGATCGGCTGTCTCATTCTCTTACTGGAACTAGCAAGTAACTAGCCTTCCTAACAAGGCTTATCTTTTCCCAAACCTAGTCCCAAATGCCTGCCCTCACTCCCAAACTCGCACTTTGCAGAAGCAAACAAGCTCATTTTTTCTACTTCTATTCTATATGGCAGGAATGAGTATGCTTGTCTAGTCCTGAGGTATCAAAAGATCTAGAAATGCTGGATCCTAACAGTTGACCCCTTAACTTGTCCTTTGAAAAGCCCTATATTTCCTAAGTGGTAATGCAGTTTTGAGGATTCACTCAACATCAAGCACTCAGGTTCTGCTGTCAAATACTTACCAAGCTAGCATCTGGCAACTAGGCTTTCATCAAGAAGAAAAACTCACAGGGCAGCTCTCACTCTCACAGGGATAGACCTAAATGACTACCTATTAAAACTGGGCTAGAGCGGGGCGGTGGTGGCGCACGCCTTTAATCCCAGCACTCGGGAGGCAGAGCCAGGCGGATCTCTGTGAGTTCGAGGCCAGCCTGGGCTACCAAGTGAGTTCCAGGAAAGGCACAAAGCTACAGAGAAACCCTGTCTCGAAAAACAAAAACAAAAACAAAACAAAACAAAAAAAAAAACTGGGCTAGAGAATGGGTGACTAATTCCAGTAATTGGAAACAGAGGCTAGCCTGATCTACAAAAAGCAAGTTCCAGGACAGCCAAGGCTACATAAGAGTAACCTGTCTCGAAAATCTAATACATGCATATAGTTTTGTCTCTCAGAACTAAGCCCAGCACATGAAAATCCCTTAAAGCTCAATCACTGAGAAATTACACTATGGCCAACCATCCCAACTGTGTTACATCTGTCAAGAAGCCAAGACAACATCTGCACTGGATCTTAGTGTTTATCAAAGCACTGCCCTTTCTGCTCTTAGGGTAAGTAACCTGATGGCAATACAAGTCAGGTGGCAATAGGAAAGCATGGAAGAACAGAAATAAGGTTAACTGCCATTCAACTTAGTTTTCAACTTAGCCCCTCTTTCACTAACTTCAAACAGCAAAATAAACTCGCAAGCCCATACCACACTACTTCAGGGTTTTACATGTGTAGTTTTAACTTAGGATACACCGAATGGGATAGAACAATAAACCATACAGGACTTCTTGAGAGAAAAAGACCAAAAGCAGTTGTATAATACTTGATATATTTTATTATCAATAACAAACAGCTGCTTTAACGTCTGTCTACAGCTGCTAATGGGTGAGAAGACACCCTGACCCTAACAAGGAAAACTCATATTAAGCCTTTATATACAAGCAAATTAGAGCTCTTTTAAAGTGTCCAAAGCTATTAGTTTAATTGAGTAATTAAACTAATCAAGTTAACATATCTGAACAATGAACTAAAATGTTCAAAAGTTTTTCTAGTACAAAAAATTAAATGCTTTAGTTATAAAAGAGCTCTGTCAATATACACAAACTATATACTTCAGACAGTCACAAAAGTGTGAGCAGAAGGCTTATCAAAAGACATTTAATACAATTAGTTTTCAACATCCCCTTGGTGGTCCACATCTACAAAGAAATCCAGCCCAACCCCCTCCAAACCCACCCCCACAGAAAAGCACATACTTACCAGAATTTTTAGCAAGTATGGTTTGGGAATTTGTTTTGTTTTTTTAAAAAAAAGGCCCCCAGGGCAAGTTATTTACAGTTTAATTGCCACTGTCAACTGATCTGGACCTGGACCGAGATCGGGACCTCTGGCGATCCACAGATGCTGGAGACTTAGATCTACTTGAAGAACCACGTTTCTGGCTCTTCTCAGGCACAGGAGATCTACTACCAGAACGGGACTTGCTCCGGCTCCGGCTCCTGCTCCTTGAGCGGCTGTAAGACTTGCTCCTACGGGAACGAGATCGGCTCCGGGACCTAGAGGAACTCCTGGTCCGAGATCGTGACCTGCTTCTTGACCTGCTAAGAAAAATGGGGAGGAAAGAGAGAAGACAAGACAATCAAGCTGTATGACAAAGCTCTAAATGTCAGTTAAGTAAAACTTTTGGTTTAAAAATATTAATAAAGAATACCTGTGCCTTTTGCTTCCTTCAATTAATTTGATTTTTCTCCCATTAATTTCCTTTCCAGAAAGCTTTTCAATAGCATTCTTTAAGTCACCATAAGAGGCAAACTCAACTACCCTAAAATGGGAGAGAAAAAAAAATTCCTTTAAAGCCTATGTATCCAACAGCCTTGTAGACTGTCTACACAGATCAAGACAACCAAAGTCCATTCCCTGCTTGCCCATTATTGCTGATATACACTGCACAGCTCGGTTCTGAGGCAGACAACTGTTTCTGGGGTGTCTTCCTATGTATTGTCAAATGTGCAGCAGTATGCCAAATCCCTACTAAATGGCAGTATCAACAATCCCTTGTTATAAAACCTGTCCCCCAAAACTGCCAAATGCAAAACTACCACAATCAAGCATGTACATGAATATTTTGGATCTTAGCAATGCCACAATGAAATTGCCAAAGTAAGCAAAAGGCTCAACTCCAGTGCATACTCACCCTTCATTTAGTTTAGGCCGATGTGCATCCGCAAATGTTACTTCCCCAGCTTGTCTCATGAAATCTTTGAGATCCTTAACACAAGACAATTATGTTAAGGAGAGAAAGGGCAAAGTGACAGACAAACAACCACATGGTATAAAAACAAGACTACTGAAAGAGAAGTTGTTAGATAAAGTACAAACATGGCGTATACCACACTTGTATTCTATCAGAGTTCAAAAATTATGCCAGGGCACGAAATAAGCAAATAGCATATTGCTTTTAAGCAAAATGCTAGAGGAAAATTCCAATTTTTAACATTATAGTATTAGTTTAACTGAGCTCAATACAAAAGGGGGGAAAAACAAACAAAAAAACAAAACAAACAACAAAAAAAAAAACCAAAAAGGAACAGTACATATTTTAAAGACTAAAGTAGTTTTATATTAAAAAAAAAAACATTTACAAGACACCAGTTATTTTGTGCCCCATATGTCATTAAAAAAATTTACTTTACCTTTATTAACATTTCCCTAGGCTAGTCAAGCAGCAAACCATTAAGCGGTCGGAGAAACCTTCATGACATAGGCCCGACTGGCTCTTCGCCACCCACTTGAAGGATACTACCCAATCGATGGAAGCCTTTAATCGCACAGCCCTCCCTATTAGCAGACTACTGGCGATGCAGACATGTTTTACTCTTGTGCAGTTACCAAGGACCACTTTACTGCGATCAGGATTCCAACGACCAACTAATTGCGTATCTTTCAACTCTTTCGACCAGGACCTCTTATTCGGAAGCGTTACAGGAAGACAGCTCTCAACTTAGGGATCAGATCACGTTATCAACGTTCTGGGATCGCTGCAACCCGGCACTTCAAGTAAGTGCACCGATTACGTCTAGACCGGCAAACACAGATCTAGAGGTGGCCAACTGATCACTGTAGGAGCTGACTGGCAAAGTCAACCAGGCCCAACCAAGAGTGACCAAGACAACGATTAGGATAACCCACAGGCACTCCTCGTCATAAGGCCAACGACACAGATAGGCTGGCAAATAAAGGGTTTAATATTTGGTTAAAATTGATTTTTAAAAACATTGAAAAAAAATAACCTCAAAACAATTACATTTGATCACTAATATTAAAATCTGAAACATCCCCCAGTTACATTTAATTAAAGTATAAAAGTATAGTTCAATTAAATCCATTAATTTAAGATAAAAGTTTTAATATTAATAAAATATTAACTACCCATTAACATTTTAAATGCCACATTAAAATAACTCAAAATTGTATTTCAACAAACCTGCCAGCTGACTCTTGAGGATAAATTCTCAACTATAAGTCGATTTTCTGTTCTTACAGGTGGAGCATTTCTGAGGAAGAAAATAAGCAGTGTCAGATGCTATGTACCATGAAGCATTTTACTGCCGAGGTGAAGCAACCAGTGATTCAAGCACCTCTATCAAGTGTCTGGGTTCTCAGTATGTGAACTAACATGTCTCAGAATAATATGCTGCTAATGGTTCCTCTATCCTAAACACCAGAGGCCATTTGCCCACCACATACCGTCTATCATTTCGTGGTCTTCGACTACTAAAACGGTCAGAATACCGTCCTCTTCCTCGCCCACCTCGAGACCGAGCACGAGCATGTTCAATTGTAACTCTATGAAGAGATAGATGTAAAATGCTGATTACATGCTTATACCACACACGTAAACACTCCACAGTTTGCTCTATTATCCT